AAAATGAACTGCAAAGGTTGATGATCAGTTATTAAAGTAAACCTTCCATACAGAAATTTATGGAACTTTTTTAATGCAAAAATTATAGCAAGTGCCTCTCTTTCTAAGTTAGAGTAATTTTTCTCGCTTGGGGAGGTGCTTGAAGCAAACATTATGGGTTTATCAATACCACAAGTTTTATGGCTCAATACACATCCAACCCCATACCCACTCGCATCACAGGTGACATAAATCGGTAATTTAGGATCATAATGTGTCAAAACATTATCGGACGTTAAGAATTCCTTACTTAGTTCAAATGTCTGCTGACATTCATCTGACCAACTTTTAGAAAAATTTTTACCAGTTTGACACAAATCATATAACGGTTTCATTTTACTTGATAGCATTGGTATAAATTTCCCATAATAATTCAATAATCCAAGATATGATTTAAGTTCAGTTACAGATTTTGGTGTAGCTACTGACTGTATAGCCTCTATCTTTTCTTTTGTTGGATGGATACCATTGACATCAATATAATGCCCTAGGAATTCTACTTTTTGTTTAAAGAATTTGCATTTTGTTTCATTGACTTTAATATTAAACTTTTGCAAACGCTCAAATACCCCCTTAACAACTGTGTAACACTCCTGTAAGGATCTTCCATAACACATTATATCATCTAAGTAAGCTTTTGTGTTAGGTAATCCAGCTAGTATTGTATCCATGATTGACTGGAATATGCCTGGTGCTGAACTTACGCCATAAGTTAATCTCGAATAAGCAAACAAACCTAAATGACCAACAATTTTTGTGCTGACTCACTAACCCTCAGTTGTTGATATGCCCCCTTTAAGTCAATTACAGTGAAATATTTTTGACCATTCAGACAAGCAAAAATATCCTCTGGCAAAGGCAATACACAATGCTCAGTATCTAAAGCAGGGTTTAACGTTTTTTTGAAATCCACACAAATTCGGATATCGTTAGAATTCTTTTTTGGTACAACCACTATAGGACTCGCCCAATCACTATAGCTTATCTTTTTTAGAGTACCCATTTTTACCATTTTTGATAACTCTGACTCTACTTTTTCTTTTAATGCAAATGGCATATCATATGCCCTGTGAAAAACAGGTTGCGCTCCCTCTTTAAGTTTTAAATCTACTTGAAAGTTACTTATACCCGCATTTAACTTTTCGGTAAAAACTTTCTTAAAATTATCTTTAATTTCAAGCACTAAACTAGATATTTCTTTTTCTTCTCTTTGTTTGACCTGATTTTGACTGACCAAACTGACATATTTATTTGACATTTGACTTTGTGACTTATGATATTCGGACATCTGACTACTAACCCTTGACTTATTAAAATTTAAATTGTCTCTCCAATTTGGATTCAAAATGTTTAACCAGTTACGACCTAACAGTGGCTTAAATCTATGATCGCTTTTTAAAACAACTAACGGTAAGTTAACAATGTTATTTTTGTGATTAACAAAAACATCTGTCTCTCCTAATATCTTTACACCTTGACCAGTTATTACTCGTAACTCGTATCTTACCGAATACAGTTTCAGTTCCGGCAGGTACTTCTCATAGTCGTTAACATGCATCACGGTTCGGCACGCCCCAGAATCAATCTCAAAAGTAATCTTCTTACCCTCGATCTCTAACGATATTTTCTCTGGTTCGGCTTTACCTTCTTTTTTCGGCTCTATGGATGCCAGGAATCCCAGGGTTAACGAATCTTCGTCTTCTGTGGATCCTTCATCGACAGCATTGACCTGACTTTTGCAAACTCTGCTTGTATGCCCAACAGCTTTACAAAGGAAACATTCCCACGCCTTAGCTGGACATTTTTCCGGATCGTGTCTTCTTCCACATCGAACGCAAGGCTTCCATTCCTTCCTCGACGATGAGCGACTAACTTCACTTGACTTTTTACTTGGACCTGGCTTGCTATAGACATGCTTACTGACTTTCTTCTTGACTGCTAATTTATCTAGGTTTTCTGACACACATGTGATGTTTGGCTCATTTCCCATCGACTTAACTTGACCCTCCGCTAATTCCATAGCTAACGCAGTATCATAGGCAGACTGGAATGTTAAATTTGCCTCGGATAGTAATTTCTTCTTAATGGTAAATGACCGTAATCCACATACCAACCTATCTCGCAGCGACTCTGATAAAAACTGACCAAACTTGCAATATTGCGAGAGGTTTTTTAACCTGGTTACGAAGGTTTTTATATCTTCATTGGACTCTTGATTGGCATTGTAGAATTTAAACCGCTCCGCTATTACTAACCTCTTCGGACTATAATGATCAATCAGAACATTCTTTAGATCGGCATACGATTTGGAACTAGGTACGTCTGGTGCTACAAGATCTTTCAGGACACTATAGCCTTCGGGACCTATTAGAGTTAACAGCATCGAAACTTGTAGTTTGCCCTCTTCTACCATATTACACACAAAGAGTTGTTCCAATCTTTCTATATAAGAATCAATATCGGACTCCCGAGGATTGAATTTCTCTATTGACCCGATTAGCGCTGACATGTTACTTTCCTTTGACTGGATGACTAAAAAAGAATGAACACTGGGACATCGACAGGTGTTGCAATGCTTTTCGACTTATTGCGCTAAAACATAACGTGTGTTCGACCGGACTCGTCGCCAAATTATTTGTTATGTATTAAACATAAACAACATACCATGACAAGACAATTTATTTTTAATTATATCGTTACAACCGCGTGGCATGACATTATCACCCTATTTCTAGGTTAAGTGTCCTCCCTAAAGCTCCCCCTCCACACCTAAAGCTTACAATACACTACAGCTACCAGCGGCGCCACTCTGCAGCGCTTCAAAAACGCCTCGTAAGAAGGGGCTCTAATACGACCAAATGGATGTTGTATGTAGGTACAGTGCGATCAAAAATGAGTTGCTGCGCCGCTTCAATTAATAATGACGTTAGTAATCATTTGTCGCAACACGCGCGATAGTGCACCAATACTAAAACATAACCTTAAAATTCAAAATACACATTTTTTGACGTTTAATTTCAATCAACAGTTTAACCTTTTTAATTTACAAATTATGAGAAATTACACAAATAGCAAATTAATACAAAAATTGACATGGTTTTATTTCTTGTACAACTTGTTAATAACAATGTAATTGTGTAAATTCGTTCAATTAGTTGTGACGTCATCGTAGCGAGTGCGTTGAGGAAGGTCAAGGCGCATTATCCAAACAAAGTGTCCTGCCATTTTATTTTGCATATCACTGTTGAATTTTTTTGATATTGGTTAAAGAACAAGTGTAAAACTTCCAGAAAGTATGTATTTTTCATTAATAAAACAACTAGAATATATGAAACTAACTTTGGTGTAATTTTTTATGTAATTAATAAAGCTATTGTACCTTTAACCTCACTTAAAAGCTGTATTCTTTTATTATAATGGGTGTATTAATTCACAGTGGCAACGAAACATGTAATTTCGTTATCCATTATTGCGCATTTCTTCAAAGAAAACGGAAATCAATTACGTCGTGGCGAAATTGCATATGAAAGTGGGCACGTTTCCAAATTGACTTTCGATTCGTCGCTATCGCCGATGTTGTTGAAGGGACATGTGCAAGCCAGTATGAAGAACCGTGAATACATTGTTGAAGTAAGTAAAAACAGTAGGTACACATTATCATTGACTAATTATTCATTTTTAGATTTGGATCGATAGGGAAGACGGTATAATCGAAGGGAAATGTAATTGCCCTAGGGGGCAAGCAATATGCCATCATATGGCAGCATTGTGCATTCATGCACATCATAACGTAAGCGTTACCGAGCAGCCCTGTTCATGGAATGCCCCGAAAAAAGCTGTTGATGAACTGCATACCATTAGAGATATATATCCTACGAAACATTAACGGTACCAGCCATTAAGGAGTAACATTGGCTCAGAAGCAATTTCAACCTTCCGCAATGCCCTACAAACCTGCGTAGTAGGGTTTACATGGCTGCTGAACCCTGAAGAAGATGCTCAAAATTACTCTTTAGATGTACCCGTTATCGAAGACATCTTGTTTTCACAATCATACATGTCTTGTGCAGAGAAGTCTGCGTATTTAGCAGAAAAATGCCGTCTCACTGCGGGGATGCTTGAGAATGTGGTACATTCAACAAGGGGCCAGGCTTCAAATGAAAGGTGGTTGATCATTCGGAAACATCGACTTACCGCCAGTAAATTTGGTGTAGTATTGAATGCATGCAACAGGAATAGATTTCCACCATCATTGTTTAAAAGCCTGGTAGAAGGCTACAGTTTAAATTCCCTACTTGCTGTGCAGTGGGGAAGAGAACATGAAAAATGTGCAATAGAGACTTTTCAAAAGTTGTTTGGCGTTGATGTCCAATCAACTGGTTTGTGGTTGCACGAGTGTGGCTATTTGGGGGCAAGCCCCGATGGATTGGTAGGCGACACACACATTGTGGAAGTGAAGTGCCCATATAAATACAGAAACTCTAGCTTAAAGCAAGCTTTATCTAATGACCGAAGTTATATTATTTATAAGGAAAATGAAGAGACTGTCATCAACCGGAAACACAATTATTGGCACCAAATCCAAGGACAACTCCATATGACGAATAGAAGAGCATGTTACCTACTTATTTGGACTCCAAATGAGCTTGAAGTCGTTGAAGTACTTAAAGAGGATGCATGGTTGCAAAATATTACAATTTTAAAAGAATTTTATTTTGAAAAACTTGTACCTTACATATGTGGAACTTAAAATACTAAAAAAAAAACAAAATTCTACATTACTAGATTAATAAACATATATTATTTACAAAAAAGTTAATTTACTTTGGTGTCTAAATAATTGCTTTCCACTTCTTTTATTAGTGGGTTTTGTAAATTTGTTAAAGCTCCCACGGTTTGAAAAATAATGTCGGCATGAGAAAGCATAGTGCTTGGAATAAAACTTAATATTTTAAAGTTTTTCATCCGACATATTGCTCTTTCCACGTGTACTCTTGCGCGAGCAATACACTCAGTCCTTTTTACTTGTTCTGGTGTAAATTGACCCGTATTCAGGAATGGTGGGATATTCAGACTAATACCTGCAGGTAGTATGTCGCCGATTAGGAAACCTTTATCGGCCAATATTAAGTCGCCAGGTTCCAACTGTTCTAAAACACCATAATGCTGAACGATTTTTTTGTCGCTTGTGGATGCAGGATAGAGGGAACTTAAATAAGTAATCACACCGTTGGGAGCCACACCAACTAGACCTTTCCATGTATTATGGTGTTTGTAGGTGCTGTAAGTCTCTCTTTGCGTGCTCATAGATTTTCTAGAGACTTCTGTGTAAATCTCTGTGCAGTCTAATATCAGTCTACAATTGGTGAATGTACTAAAGCAGTTGGGTAAACACAATTGGTTTCTTTTCCGACTTGGAATGACGCACATTAAATTCTCATATAAATTTTGATGTAAAATGTACACCCATGTTAGTACAACGTTTGTGACCGTTGCTTGTGACACATTAAATCTTACTGCCAAATCTAAATGTGGGAAGTTTCTTCTTAACTTCATTAGTGTCATAAAAAGTTGATCTTTTTTACTAATTATTTGTACTTGCCACTTTAAATAATAATTTATCTCCAAATCCTTAAGTAAATTGTAAAGGGCACAAAATACACTATTATTTGGCAATCCAGTGTACATGGAGACTAATTCGTTGTTGTTACATATGCTGTCATATGTGAATTGTCGAGCATTATATTTTTGTTTTAAGTCTTCCAAGTCCTTTTCTAAAAAATAACTTTCACCATAGATTATAGCAGTAGAGATTTGGGAAAGAGGTGACGGACCAGGCTGCGGATCACTGCCAATCTGAACGTCTGTAGCGTATGAAGGACCAGGTTGAGGATTGTCTCTAGAGATACTAACAATCTCCACTTCTGCACTGTGACATGGAATTTCTTGGTCCGGTTCTTGTTCTGGTACGCAACTACTGCAAACAAAATAATAGATTTCACTTATAAAAGATATCCCTTTACCTGCTCTGCGCTATAGGATCACTTATGTCTAACTTAATTTTTTTCTTCTTTGGACTGGTAAACGTAAACCTTTTGTCTTTGTTATGAGCAAACAGTACGGGTCCCGATTCTCGTTTACCGTCTACAAAATGGCAACTACATAAGTATGCACCGGGGCCAGGTTCAACATCTCGCCTATAAACAGCTTCATGTTAAAGTTGTTAATCAAATTGTAGTTGCCAAGTTTCATTAGCAATAAGAAAAACTTGCCTCACTAACTTCTTCCAACGAAGTCTTTCTTTTCCGCTAGCAGGGAACTTGTAAAACTTGTAGGTTTCCCGTACGTTGTAATGTTTACAACCAGGTGCCCAACATAAAACCATTCTGTATCCCAAGCAGGTACTACACACCTACAAAACTACCATTCATAACAATAATTTTTAGGTTATAAAACTTTATTTTTGATATAAAGTTAATAATTGTGAGAAATCATAAACCAAATTGGCATAGTAAGTTCCAGTTCACCAGTAAATTGAAAATACTTACTTTTTATAGTCCTTTTCTTTCTAATTTAATTTATATTAAGCAAAAACAATACAAGCATATGAATTTTACACAGAAGCGCGGTTTGTTTGGATAAAGCACCTTGACCTACACCAACACAGCTGGTATCTACTACGTCATACTAATGGAGCGAATTAGATGCACACTATAAAAACTGTTCGAAGTGATCGCTACCACTGTTAAGACAGGCATCCACTCGTTTCTTCATGTTTTCGAAGACAGCATGTAACTGCTGTTGCGTGATATTCTGAACAGCAGCTTCTATAGCTGCTCGTATTTCGGCAATCGTGTGCAAACGGTTTCGATATAGGTATCACGTTTTTCAGGTGACCAAATAAAAAGTAGTCCAAGGGAGTTAAGTCAGGTGATCTTGGAGGCCAGAGGTTCCTTCCGATCATTCGATCATCAAAGTACTCCTGTACGAATTGTATTGTCGCGGGCTCGCGGCAGCCGTATGTGTACTTGCGTTGTCATGTTGGAAAAAACCTTCTTGCAATTCATCATCGTGAAGTTGATCGATGAACACTTGCAACATCCCACGATAAAGTTCCGCATTAACAGTGTCGTTGAAGAATATCGGTCCCAAAATCCGCCTCCTCGACATCGCTACCCACACGCCTACTTTAAGAGGATGAAGTGGAGCTTCCTGATAGATATGTGGATTTTCTGCACTCCAAGTACGATAGTTTTGCGAATTCACATAGCCACTTAAATGAAACCATGCTTCGTCAGAAAAATAAGTCTTGTCCAATATGTTATCTCGTAAATTTGCATTAAACCAATTGCAGTAATTTATACGGGTTTGCTTGTCTGGACGATGTAGTTCTTGTAACACAGTTACTTTGTACGGGTAAAAGTACACGATGAACATTTCGACGTATATTGTTGTAATCTTCATTATTGTCCGGATAAGTTTCTCGAAATTCCTGTATATACAAACGGATCGAGTACACCTATTACACGCTACAATTAAAAAAACGTTTATTTACAATTCAAAGTCATTTAAAAGGCTGTTTTGGAAAGGGCGAAAGTAACAGGAAGAGAAGATTGTGCAGGAAAATACGTAAACGAGCGAAAGGAGGATTGAATTATAGGTTATGTTTATTGTTTAGTATTGGTACACATATACCTGGCTGCGGCAAATGATTACTAATGTGATATTTTATAAGAGCGGCGCAGCATATGATTATTGATCTCTCTGTATTTAAATTGGAGGCATTCATCGTCTACAAATTCTCCTTCGGTTTTTCGCATATTCAAAATGAACCCATTTCTTTCTGCGTTTCTGGTTTTCTATGGAAATTGCAGCTAAATAAATTTATCTAAACTTTGCCCATCTTACAATAGCGATGTGTCGACGTTCTTAATGACACTGCCTAAAATCAGCGCCAGTTGAGTGTAAAATGTGAATACTAACCAAAATTGTTATTACAGTCCAATACTGCACGTCGGTGTCCAAGCATTTTTGTTGCAACATAAACATAGCGAACACTTTTGTACACACAGTTATAACATTAATGCTAAAACGTTTACAACTTAGCAAATTATAATTGACAATTCTGATGGCCAGATCCGTTGGTGACGTCACATATGACTTAAACGCGGGCAACATTACAAGTATAGGGATCGAGCAATCCTACATTATATAGCATCCTTGGCCTGCAGAAACTGCACTATTGGTTGCCTATATGATTATTTACGTAGACGCAGCTCAAATTTTGAACGGTTGTCCCTATCCGCCTTCTAGTTGGACTTGGTACTTGTGGGTGGTTTTAGTGACCGTTTGCCATTGCGCAGTGCACTTAGCATTTTTATTTGGCGCCCAACGTGGGGCACACAGCAACATAGAGCCGAAATGAAACCGGCTAGTGGAATTTTATCTGCTGGAGAGGCTTTATCGCTACCATTTGATAGTGGTATGTATTATGAAAAGATTTACTAGCTAAAACTCCAACCCAAAATAATTACCTACATGTTGTTAAGCAAAGTAAGAATTAATCAGTACTTGCAAAATCAAAAAGCCATTTAACCCCAACAATAGGTAATTGTAATTTAATTTTAGAGCAATGTAATTCCTAATTGATCGCAGGAGTAGTTAATTGCTTTACGCCCACTCTTTATTTTAACCTTCGCTCGAAGTCATCAATTTACCCTCAAGAGTGAGAAAGCCAGTTCATCTGTTGAAAGAGCATAACCCCAATCCATACTGATCGTAATTGATGATTTTGGCTAAGGTGATACAAATTACATAGAAGCATCTCCATAAATGTATAACAATAAAGATAGGGGGTGAGTTTTTTTTAGCGTCAAGCTTGTACAAAATATACTCTCGAACCACCTCTTCAGATATTGTGAGGGCCTATTGATATTATCAAGTGCTTCCTTTCTATAAAAGAAACTGTCTGCCCCATTAGCTTACTCCCGTCGAACAAAAATCACAAGCTTAATAACTAGGTACTTGCTTCCATTAATTTTAAAATTTCTGATATTACTTATTATATTAATTGAAGATAAATTACCACTCATGTTATTGCAAGACGACAGCATTTTCAAATAAATAAATTGGTACGACCATTAATTCTGTTTTCTGAAGCAAAACGCGGTAAAAGTATTACAAAGTTAATTGCACAATCACTGTTCCAATGGTATTTAAAACAAAATTAAACTGAAAAGTATATCTGAAATTGTGATAAGAATAATTAATTGTAAGTCACTAATGTATGATCCCCAAGTTAATTTAAATTCACGTTGTTACCTACAGATGCGCCGTTATCATACAGGTCGCACTGCTTGTTCGTCGATTACCTTAAACACGAACATTTGCTTATTCCATAATTTCCGCAATGCGCACCTTCGTCAACTTGACACTTTTCAATTACAATGGTTTCCATTTATGTACAAACAGTTAGATATATGAAGGTATAGCAATACACATAAAGGTTAAATGTGTTTCAAAAAGCATCTTGTAATGCCATTCAAGAGGTACGACGTTCTATCATAATGTAATTATTAACGATCTTCGAGATCGTTTATAATTTTGTATTGCTGTCTGTCTGTCCGTGTGCACGATAACTTTGTGTAGAAACATCCAATCGCTTTGAAAATACACATGTTCTTCAGGACATAAGAAAGGTCGCTATTGTTTTTCGGCTACGTAGACCAACGGGCTAAAAAGTTATAGCCCAAAAAACTGCTCGGACCGAATTGCATGAAATAGTGTATGTAGGTAGGTAGGTACCTAAAATAAAAGTAAAATTAATGCCGAATCAAAAAATTTGTTTTGCGAAATGTTGTATATATGGACCTCGAATAATAGCTATTTACGTAACAAGACTAACAAGTTGCAAATTGACTGTCTTTGGCGCACTAGACGTGTATGTGTCCAATGAGAGCAGTTCATTTGCTCCAATTTCAAAATCATTCTGCCAAGTTCATTATCGGAGCTTAATCTAATTATACTTCGCGGATATTCAATTCATTCTTTCAGACGCAAACTAGCTTCTAGAGAAGAAATCTCTAAAATTAGGTACTGTTATCTTTAGGCCTAAAAAAATGCGCTAGTGTCTTTAGGTACAAGGGAGGGACCTTTTGTATTTAACGCTATTTTCTGGGGCGTCTGGTGAATATCTTGTATTTTATTCTCTGTATCTGTTACGATGAACCTTATCATTCTTATGGCCATATGCACCGTGGTATCATAAACCAAGCTTAATATTTAAGCTCGCTGAAGTTGACAGTATGGTATGCACCGTAGTAAAAAAGGAGCTTAAGCGCCGTTAATATTAAACCTTCATTTTTGGAGGCTTTAGCGTGTTAAGCTGAGCTTTGTTACAAACTAACCTCACTTTTTAAATTATAAAATATAATCTGCTCTTGTAGAAGTCGATTGCGATGGAAGTTGAAGATGAGATTATACTAGACGATGATCATGATTTTCTGGAAATAATTGAGTTTGGATTTCCTCGAAAATTTTACCAAAGACCAAATTTCTTTGAAGAAATGGATGACCTTAATTTCCTGAAGCGATTTCGATTAACTAAACAGGCCACAATGTCAGTTTTAGAACTAATAGAAAATCAGCTGGAGTTTGAGAATGATTTGTAAGTGACTGTTTTAAGCACTATACGAGTTATAGTGTATGGGCCAGCATTATGGCACTTTTTTATCAAAATAATCATAGGGCGCTTATTATTAATTATGTTGTAGGAATAACAGTGTATCACCAATCAATCAGCTGCTAACCACGCTTTTATTCTATGCAAGTAGCAGTCATCAAATAAACGTTGGTGATTACATGTGTATGAACCAAAGCACCGTTTCTCGTATTGTGAAAAAAGTATCACAACAAATTGCTGCTCTGCGAAATCAATTCATACAAATGCCTACGACTCCTGAGGAAATAATTTCTACCCAAAACAAGTTTTATAGAGTAGCACGTTTCCCTCGGGTAATAGGATGCCTAGACGGAACACACGTTAAAATTCGATCTCCAGGTTAACTTATAAAAATTTTATAACAGACCTAAACTATAACATTGCAGGAGGGGAGGATAGTGAAGTCTACAGAAACCGCAAGTCATATTTTTCAATAAATGTGCAACTTGTGTGTGATAGTGACTTAAAAATTAGTAACATTGTGGCCAGATGGCCCGGTTCGGCACATGATGCTACTATTTTTAACAATAGTCGCTTAAAGACACTATTTGAAGCTGGACACTTTAGATCTGCTATTATGCTTGGTAATTGCTGTTAATATTAAATACATCATAATGTACTTCTAATTAGCTGGCAGAAAGTAATGTAATCTTTACTTTAGGCGATAGTGGATATGGCTTAAAGCAATATTTACTAACACCACTTTTAAATCCAATAACTCGACCACAACAATTATATAACGAATCCCATATTCGTACCCGCAATTGCATAGAAAGGACAAATGGTGTATGGAAAAGAAGATTCCCAGTGTTGTGTTATGGGCTTCGATGTGAGATGGAAACTGGCTTAACAATAATTGTGGCTACAGCAGTTTTGCATAATATTGCAATTAATATGCGTGACGATGTTCCACCACCTCCAAATGACATCAATGCAGAAGAATTGGATTATTTAATTGCACAAGGACAGATTCCTGTTATAAATGTAAATGAAAATATTAATTATGATTTTAGGACAGACCTGATAAATAATCATTTTGCAAATTTATAATATTAAAGGTAGTTATAAAAAACGAAATTGTTATTTATTACCACATGTAACATATTATTCTACATATTTTTCATTTGCTATTTGAATATGCAGTAACTCAATTTCCAATTCACGTTTCTTAAGAACAAGTTCATTTTCTGCATGTAAATGTTTAATTTGTGCATCTACTAAGCTTAGTCTTTTGTCGAGTAACAGATTGTACTTTTTTGCTATCTCAGATGATGTAAGTGTCTTGACTACTGTTGTTGGTCTTCTTCTGTTTGCATTCTTTGGAGTGTTAACCTACAAAACGTTGCAATTAAAAGTCATCATACGATTAAAAAAATTGTTACCTTGTTGGGTGCTGGGGCATTATCAGGTTCCGGTATATTTTCTTTCTCTTCTGAGAAACGTAGAATTGCACTTGTAGGGCATTGTAGCTGTTTTGGAACATACTTTTTCCAATTCATTGTTGGGACTGGCATTTGGATAGCGTTAATGGAACTCTAAAATTTGATTCAATCAGATACATTTTTGTCCAGTACAAATTGTAACCACTACTATCGATATACACACAATTAAGTTACTGGTTTAGTTAGGTCTATGTAACCGTTCCTACTAACTATTACTGATAAAAACTTACCTGTGCTTCCACATTAACAGTATCCGCTACACAGTTTTCGGTAGTTGCAACTTCGCATGGGTATGCCTCTAATTCAAGAACAACTTCCTCATTACCTTCAATGTGGGGTATCTCCGTTTCATCTGCATCATCATCAAATGGATTTTTAAGACCCAACAAAGTTTTCTCATTTAAAATGGCCATTAAAATGTCATCCATCAGTGTATCGTCCCCATCTTTCTTCTTCTTTGGCGGTGGACCGCCACCAGTTAATAATGCTTCTCTTTTATTAGTAGCTAAAGTTTTCCGGAGCTCTTTTTTTCGGTTTTCATAGCATTTCTTGAGGCTCAGTGCATTTCTGTATGTGGTGCAGGTAGATGAAGCATTAAACTCGGCTTCTATTTCGTCCCACGCCTTTTCTTTTTGTCCCGTTGAAACGCGATCAGTCTTCTTGTCCTCTAGGATCTTGTAATATTTTTGAGATATAATCGTTAAAAGATGAAGCTTCTCTGTACTGGAAAAGTTGGGCACTCGAACTTTTGCGTTGCTCATATTTGTATAGTTTTAACAAAGACGTGAAATCTGTACAATACTACAATCACAATTCACAATGTTATTTGAGGTTATAACATGTCAAACAACTGAGTAGACGAAGTGCATTGTGGGTTAAAAATGCTACGTTGCCAAACATATTCACGGTTTACCAAAACTCGGTTTAGTTTGGTACGGTGCATTACCAAAAATTATGTATAGCGCTTAACTACTTAAGCGAGCTTACGTAAGCGCAGTTTAAATAAAAAACGGTGCATATGGCCATTAATCACTAGTACTCCAGGTAACTCCGTAAAAGGGTATCGGGAATATCTTGTGTTGAGTCCGACACCACATGCGCCATCACTTGACCCTTAAAATCATCTACCTCTAATAAAAAAACTTGTCCTTCGTAATGATGACCACCACAGCCTTTTAGTAAAATCTTATCTTTTGTATCAATACTTAATCCTAATCTTCTTACTTCGTTATCTTAAATAACTATTGTAGTACTGTTTCAGTCTAAGTAAGCTTTAGTTTAGGTATTTGCACATCTATGAAAACGTCCTTAAAATATTTATTTAGATTTGGGATTGAGGGGGGGGGGCTCCCTTCCATCTAGGTAAGATTTACCAACTAAAACCCTTTCCTCTGCCTAGTGTAGCATGGCCGGGCATCACCTTTCGATATTCTTCACGACCATACATGGCTGGCGCAGATGGTCGGCGCCACGATGTTCCCGCTACTCCCTCTCACTTTCCCGTGTCTCTTTCTCTCTAGTGCCAATCACCTTGGTGATCCACCCTCTCTCCAGCATTATTTGGACGATCCTATCCTCGCCAACATGTTCGCCTATCTGTTTCCACACTGATTCTCTGTTCCTTTCCCAGCGTCTGCACGCAAGTACAGCATGTCCGGGGGAGTCCACCTCTCCACAGCCGACACACGTATTTTCTCCCCCTGCGCATGGGGTATATATGACAAATTTTTGTCGAGCATCTTGATCTTCCCCTCCGATTCCGTCAAATGCCCCAGTACATCTAGGTGAACAGGAGGAATTCGCCTTTTCCCGGTGAGGGGGGCCAGTTTTGTCTTCTCGTCTGGGATCATTCATCCATTCGTTCACCCTCTCGATAGTACGGCTCATTTTTTCCTTAGCCTTTTCCAGGTCCCTACCACGCACTATTAAGGTTAGATCATCGGCAAAACCCACCATCGCAACCCCCTCCTCCTTGGTGATCCTTAGAACACCGTCGTACATTATATTCCACAATAACAGCCCCAGCACAGAACCCTGTGGCACTCCCGCACTGTTCACGAATTCATATGTTGCTCCCAAGGGTTTCGTCGACACCACTATTCTGTCCGTTAAATAGTTCTTTATCAATCGTACTAAATATTTTGGCACTTCGAAATCGCGCATAGCTTCTATGATGGCTTCCCTTGACGCCGAGTTAAAAGCTTTTTTAACGTCTAGTGAAGCCACCAGACACGCTTCTCTTGTCCTCCAAGTCCCTTCGTATTTTCTCTGCTACAGGTACCGGTTTGCCCCCGCACTCTCTACACCTTGTCAATGCATACATTGTGACAGAATCCAGAAATGTCAAAGAAATATCTTGATAAATAAAGAAGTTGGCACTGACTGCGCATACGCACATCTAATTTTTGCAATATCAGTTATGTTTGCTTTTAGCAGAATCATCTGTGATTAAAATATCAAAAAGATATTAATATTGCGCATTAATCTGCCATATACGATACGTTTACTTACACTAAAAGCAACTTTGGTTAAAAGTTCAAAGACATATCTATTGCGCAGTCTGCGTATGCGCACATCAGATTTTTACTAATGCGATATGTTTGCCTTCACCAGAAATATCTGTGCTTAAAATTTCCACAAAATATATTAATAAATAAGGAAGTTGACATTTTGTTTGATTGGGATACTTACTACTTCAAAACGTGTATTTCCGTCAAAAAAGTGGGGGGGGGGTCATTTTTTACCCAAATGCAAATGGTTAAATAAGAATCCATTAATAATTATTTATAGACTAAGAGCGTTTTACAATGATTACGCTCTACGCTCCGTCCCAAAGTACTATTACCAGAATATATAAAGAAAGCAATTATTATGAGGGAAAAATTATATTTAGTATTCCTGAAGAAATGGGTTCAAGTTTTAAAGTTCGAGACGTTTTAGTGCTTTTAATTGCTGACCTGCAACTTCTTATGAAATGGTGACACATTACCACACATTTTAGGTACAATAGTATATAATACATAGAGATCACCTCAAACTGCCTGAGAATTCTTTCACTCTCTTCTGCGATTTGGTCTTCAGTTAAAGGAGGTTTGCCGAGCTGCTGGACCATAGTCTAAGGCACAATCGAGCTGTAGGACGAGCTTTGCGTTTCTGGGTTCGCTTCGTAGCAGTTTTCAAAGCACTACAATGACATTCAAAACCTGTCATTAAAAGTAAGTTATCAATAAAATATTCGACCCTATTTCGGAGATGATACTTTTATTATAGCGTAAAGTTGTGAGGTTTGCTCTATTCTGAAAAGATCTCCTCTGAATTAAATTTAGTCTTTTGCCCATAGTAAATCCATAGACCCATAAATAATTCGGCACGATTGTTTGTTTCATTATCTATGAGTGAAGGAGCTTTACGTACCACAGGATTTTGTGCACCTATAAATGAATGACCGAAAATTACTATCTATTGTATTTTAAAAGGTGCAGAATTGTACCCCATGGATATGTCGATATAACCCACTACTTTTTATATCAAGAAGTCTGCTCTTACTGCCGTCTCCCACATTGGTACAGTTGTAATCTATGCACGTCGAGTCATCCAAAAACATAGGCTGGGCCATTGTTTAAATCATTAATTAGCGTACCAATGTCCCCATGTGCGTTATCATTATCGCCTTCTCCGGACATTTCTGTAATTTTTTTATTATTTCCACAGAGAGAAGTTTTCTCGCTGCTAAAGAAACAGTTTTTGTATCATTTTTTATTTTATACAAGCGTTTACCATAATTATTAACGACATGGTTTTTACATTCCACTGTAAGCACCTAGAAATTACACGATGACATTTTACGTAAAGATTTGTATACTCTTCCTTATACCTGCCCATATGAAACTTTTTCAATAATTTTCGCATAGAAACTCGAATCGCCGTCGGCTATAACTTTTTTATACCTCACACCATATACTCTTTCACTTTGCATAAATCCCTCTACAATAATGTCACTCTCCATTGCAACAGAGGATCCTGTCCAGTTGCGAAAGTAGGTATGTGTTGGCACTTCGACATTTGCATTTTGAGATTTAGTGCATATAATGCAAAATTTATTTCTCACGCCCATGTAGAGAATTCTGCCGGTTCTTTTTCCTATAATTACACCCTACAAGATATAGAAATATATTTTCCTGTAATTTATATTCTACTGCATACCACTCCATAGACTGCATTATAATTATGACCATAGCTTCATTTACTCCAACCCCCATCTGAATATACTGTAATCCAGGGCATACCATCTAAGTCGACGTCTGCGTTCTCAATGGCGAGATTCTTATCATCAACTGCAGCATTTTCCATTTCTATAAGGGATGATGACATCCAGACCTGAAACATTTTACGGTTTATCTACTTACATGTTGTTGTCTCTTACGTGACTCACTTCTTCTTCAGTCTGATAATCGTACATTATGCATCAAGGTAGAGAAGTCCAGTATTATCGCCTGAGCATCAAGGTTACATCTCGAGGCCCTTGCGCCGAGGGGTGTAAGGTGCGAAGGCAATAATAGACTTCTGTATCGTCTGCTTCGACCTCTTGCTCTTTAGTATAGGGTAAAGTTGAGATAGTCGCCCCTAGGGTATACATGCCTCTACATTCAAATTTTGTGGTAAAATCGACACTAGCGGCTTCGCGCTTGTTTGTGGACAAATTTAGTACTTAAAATCAGTTATGGTGACATTTGTTGTGGTATAGACGCCCCGTATCTTGGATTAATAAAAGTAAAAAGGTAGGATGCTTTATTTACTTGTAATCAATAGGTTTGTCTTTCACGAGATAAGCTTTAACAACAATATGCATGATTTATGGCAAAAACTTTTGTTATTATAAGTAGTATATAACATAACCTTGCCTATAGAACTGCTGTTTTTAGTGTTAAATGGCGGTAACTTTAAAAATTAAGTGGGGCATCTATACCCACAAAAAAGGATAAATGCCCCACTTGTGTATGGGATATATGGCAATTTTGTTATCGTGATTCTTTCGGTATTATTGATGATTAGTACTACCTAAATTAATTAAATTTATTTCAGAAAAATGCCTAGAAAGTATCAGCGGAAGGTTAATGTTAAGGGAAGAGCCTTGTGGTCGGAAGAGGATTTAGCAGCTGCTATGAGGAATGTTAATAATAGCGAAATGGGTGTGAATGAAGCCAGCAAAGCCTTTAACATTCCATCAAGAACATTACGCAGACGATTAAAATCAGGAAATTGCAAAAAACAATCGTTAGGAAAGGGTCCGGCATTGGGATTTGAAAATGAAAGGAGACTTGTGGCCCATATACAAAAACTAGAAAAGGCAGGATTTGCCCCCAGTCGTTGGACAGTTCGTAAACTGGCATATGAGTTTGCAAAGAAACTGGGAGTAGAAAATGCATTTTCTATTTTAGCGGTTGCGTGTGTGCTCTTTTTATTGGGTTTCTTACATCTAATTTATTAACAACAGAACATTTACATATATACAGGGAATATTAATCGTCGCCGAAGAGTCGTCTCATGGTGGCTTTCCGGTGGCGGTCGCGGATGATGAAACGGCGTGGGTCGTTCACGGAGATGGTGGCCGGATCGATTCCGTGGTACGTTGCAGGCTGCTGGCAGGAGCGTAGTTTCCAGGCAGGCGGTGCCTTGGTCGGGCTCGGCGGCAACGGCGATACCGGGATCGGCAGAGGTGAGCGACGTAGAAAGCGCCGTAGAGCGTTGCGCCGAGATCGCTTTTCCTTCCGCGGGGTTGTAGGCGGCATCAATGCTGCGGAGAGGGGACTTGATTATGTTTCCCGGGCTATGAGGAGCGCTGCTTCGCTGGCTATGGTAAACGCAGCGGTGAGATCGCTGCTATGAGGAACGAGCGAATCTGATTCTACCCACGGCCGCTCCGGCTTATAAAGGGCCGTCCGCGCGTGGGGGTTGTGCGAAACTCGTTGCGTGGGAGAAACTTCTTTTGTTTCACTGCCGGTTGCGCGGGTACCTGGTGGCGTTTGCACGTGATCGACATGTGCGTCTGCCGAAGGTGTGCGTGATCGGTACGTGTGCCACCACATATACCCCCTTGCTGGCGATGGAGTCGCGGTGATTGTGGCTAACTGGAAGTGGACTCTGGGTTTGGTCTGTCTTCCGCTTCTCGTTGTTGTGGGTGTGACTGTGGTCGATTTTTGCCCTGTTGTTTCTTCCCTGGTTTTGCGTGGTCGTCCAACAGGTCGCTTCGCTGTCTGCGGCTCTGCTGGTAGTGCGATTTTTGGTGATTTTGGTGGCCGTCCCACGGGTCGTTTTGCTGGTGGCGTAGTTGCTGGTGGTGTCGTTTTTGAGGTGTCTGTCTGTTCCTCGTCTGTTTCCTGGTATGCTGGTTTCACTCTGTCGCTGGAAATGATGATGTCCGTACCGTGCCGTCGAATTGTTGTAGTCTTGTCGTTTCTTGTAACTACAGGATATGGTCCTTCGTAGGATGCCTGTAGTGGTCGTTTCGCTGCGTCCACTCGGATGTACACATGCGTTGCTGTGTTGATATCCTTGAGTTGGAATGTACTTTTGTGTGTGTTGTGATTCGACGCTGGGGTAGGCTTCATGCTTCGTATTTGCTTTCGTAGCTGCGTAACGTAGGTTTCTGCTTCCAGTTGGTTGTCAGGCGTTGTGTCGGCTAGGAATTCTCCTGGGAGTCGGACACCTTGGCCGTAGGTCATTTCCGTTGCTGTAGCCTTGATGTCCTCCTTCCATGCGTTCCTTATCCCGAGGAGTACGAAGGGGAGTGCTTGCGTCCAGGCCCGGTCGTGGCAACGGAGGGATGCCTTGAGTTGGCGGTGAAAACGTTCGACCATTCCGTTGGCCTGGGGATGATAAGCCGTGGTCCTGATTCGTTGGAACCCGATTAGTGCTTCCAAGTTCCGGAATAGGTGGGCCTCGAACTGGCGTCCTTGGTCGGTCGTTACTCGTAATGGGACCCCGAATCTCGCTATCCAAGTATTTACGAACTGTTTGGCGATTGTTTCGGCGTCGATGTTTGATATTGGTGTTGCTTCCACCCAACGTGTGTAGCGATCGATACACGTCAGAATGTACTTCTGTCCTTCGCTTTCGGGTAGGGGTCCTACGATGTCCATGTGGATGTGTTCGAACCGGCTATTTGTAGGTGCGAAGGTTGCCACG